TTAACTATACGCACACGATTCACTCAAGTAGCTCACTTATGTAGTCGCTCGGAAATCCTGACCACATGTGCTAGCAAAACTATATACATGTGTAAATGTGATGATGAGTAGACTCATCAAACCTTGAATTTAATTGAATCAAACATATTGCAATTCGGGTTAACTGTCMTATTTAAAGTATTAGGGAATGTTTGTTATTGGAGTGATTATGTACAAAGTGTCGGTGACGGAGCTGTGTATCGGTAGCGCGTGACTCAAAGAAGCGGCTAACCTGACCAATATACTAGACTCGGCCACTCGGGTCGGCATAACATAACTTAGTGGCCGTGGGATAAGTCGCGATATTACTGACGGCGCTCCGTCACCGGCAGCCGTATCGTTCTGCCGGGCACTCGTCCGTGCAAGGCGCGTGTGGGCTGATCTCCTGATCAGACCGGGTCTTCGGCGACGACGCGACGCGCGTACGGACTATATACGATCAGGTTAGCGCGCCTCCTCAAATCTCCCTCCTGGGCCCCTGGTACCTCGGCCAGTTTCGCAGAGCTGTTTGCACGCGAACGCGACTTCCACGCCGTCCGGCCACTATTTAGGAGCCTCGGCTAGAGCTAACACGAATAATAAATTAGAGTATGCGATATCGGCCGCAATTATTTGTGGAATTGCTAGTCGTCGTTGGTTCGGCAGTCTTGGCGACTWGTACTCGTCACGAATCGCAATAATTCACCGTTTGCTTTTAATGACAAGATCGTCGATCTTCGGCCATTGTCGTCTCGTCGTCGGTTCTGGATATATTAAAGTGGTGTCGGTATCTTGATATAATATAGTCAATGTCTTCTGGTTTTCGGTTTGTCTGTAGTTGTTGAACGGTTGWTGTTTAAAGGAAGACATCGAGTAAATACGTCCGGAATATAAGTCGTGTCCCGTACCGGCTACTGAACTACGTGTCGCCGCCTCTATTTAGTATTTGGTATTGGTACCTACGGGATGACTGTATTTGGTAGTTCGTAGAGTTTCGGGTGTACAGATACGGGGAGGATGTCATTTGATTCGATATGGTTGGGTTAAAAATTAATCTTTGAAGCCTGTCGGTGCATTGCAGATTGTAGTCCAGGCCAATAAGACACAAACAAAAATAGGGACGCCAATAAAGTATACCCTGCGCTCCCCCCTCCCCGCAGGTGGCTCCCCTAATTACAACAAAATGGATAAGCTTTTATTTTACTCTGTCGTAGTATAAGTATACTGGCACCCTTAACTGCATTTAGCAGCTGTAAGAGTTAGACCCCTATTATAAGTATTTCAAGTAGGACTTATAATGTTTAAAGTTTTGAATTTCTGAGAATACGACAAAATAGTTTAGTAACGGTATAACTATAATGCTATATCATGGGTAAATGCGATAAAATTGTAMAATCTCTAAGACCTTATAAATATTTATAATTAATCATATAATAATAATACACATATAAAAGTATAAATCTATGGCAACAGTCAATTTAATATTATTCTGTTTGAGTAAATTAATTATTTCATAAAAATCTGTACCTACTTCCAGTTCGGAGCGGAGAAAATAGTGCTTTATAGCATTCGTAACCTTACAGACAGAAGTTTTACCAGAAAACCTAGTAAATATTTATGTGAGTTTTTTAATTCTTTTTTTGCGTATCTTATACTCAAGCGCGCGCGAAATGCATAAAACATACGCAAAGCAATAAGCAACTATACAGCAGCTTGGGTCGATTTACTTTTTACTCGTTAGGTAGATAGGTACGCCGCTGCCTACTTATTGAATAATAACTATAATAATTTTTATAAATAGTGTTACCTATAATAAACAGTTAACTCTTATGCCAGCGGAATTCAACAATTATATATATTTTATTTTATTTTACACATACATTTTATCTGAAATGGAAAATTTCC